CCACAAATATGGCTACTTGCACCGGAATCAAGGTACCATCGGTGCTTCTCGGCACTTTCTTCTCCTTTGCATGCGAGAAGCAAGGTGGCATCTTCATCTTCATTTTTGCTCTCCACGAAATTATTTTTCTCTTCAAAGTTATCTTTACATTCCCAAGAAAAATGACCAAATTTATGACAAGTATAACATTCAATATTTGATTTGTCATACCTTCCTTGATTTTGCCTCCATCCTTTCCCTCTTCCACGACCTCTTCTTGAATTAAAGTCTTGGCCTTTATTTTCTCTACTTGAAGGTGGTTGACTACCTCCTCTTTCGCCTCTACCACGACCTCTTCCATTTCCACGGCCTCTTTGTTGCGAGCCACGCCTTTCATCTTTCTCTTTGAAAGAAAATTTTGCTTGCAACGCTTGTTCAACCGATTCTTCTTTCGGTTTCTTCAACTTCTCTTCATGTGCTTGCAAGGAACTCGAAAGCTCGTCTATGGTCATGGTGTCCAAGTCTTTGGACTCTTCAATGGCAACAACAATAAAATCAAATTTTGAAATTAAGGATCGTAGTATTTTTGCCACGACCCTATCGTCTTTCAACTCTTCACCATATCTTTTCATTTGATTGACAATAGCCAAAACTCTCGAAATATAATCCACAACATATTCATTTTCCTTCATATGCAATGATTCAAACTCTCCTCTTAAGGTTTGGAGGCGAACTTTTTTCACTTTGTCCAAACCTTTAAAAGAAGTTTGAAGAATATCCCATGCTTCCTTGGAGGTTGTTGCATTTGCAACCTTCTCGAACATCTTGTCATCCAAACCTTGATGGATGAGAGTGAGTGCCTTTTGATCCTTCTTCTTTGAGGCAACGACATCTTCTGCTTCATCAACACCGGACTCTACTGGTTCCCAAACATCATAGGCACCAAGCAAGGCCTTCATTCGAATACACCAATTTCCATAGTTCTCTTTTGTAAGCATAGGAACTTGGAATGGTGTTCCGTTAGAATTCGTCATCTTTTCTCCAAGTTTGTTGTCTTCAACCACACCGGCTCTG